AAGGATAAATATCCTCCTAAAAGAATTGCAATTGGTTCATTTCAAGCAGAGCCTCAGGTTTGCAATTAATAAGAGGGAATTACAAGAGAATCTTTGGTAGAGCCATAGTTTATTTTGGACAGAAACATTATTAATATTAATATGACTTGTACATTCAGACAGCAAACACTAACAAAATGTTAAAAACGACAGATATAACAGAAGTGAGGGAAGTATTGGAAGCACCATAAAAGTATAATACTTATGTAAGAATTATGTTTTGTGTAAGTTAGGAATGATAATTCGGAGCCTTATTAGTCATTTGAATCTTAGCTTAGATATATGTAAGAGAGGAAAGTTATAAAAATTCGAATTGAAATAGAAATTAATGCTATGCCAAAAGTTGTCAAATTTATGAAGTAGTCCTGAATCAATACTTTTAAATTTTGAACGATCATATATTGGAGGTCGATCAAAAAATTACAAAAGTTAAACACAATTATAATAACATAATAGAAATTATGGAATGATTACATCCATTCATAAATTAAAAAATGTTGTATTTTGGCGAATTTATATTTTATTAAAATCTCTTCTAATCACTGCAATAGATATTTAATCTGTTAATGTAATCATAAACTTTGACTTCCCACTGACTGTTGAAATCTATTTACGTAGCATAGTCATATCAGGAAGGTGATATTTTTAATTTTTAATTTACATTTAATCATTAGGTTTGGCCTTTAATTTTATAGCCAAGACAGATATAGAATTTTGTTTTTAAATGAATTAGAACTATATATTAATTATTTTAAACCATATCTAAAGTAGTTAATAATGCTTTTATAACAACAATTAATTAATTAATTCTACCTATTCTAAGTATATTAACATAATAAATAAACTTTTGAAATTAAATTTGACAATTGCATCATCTGAAAATTTGCATGAGATAAATGGTGAAAGTACTTCTAATAAATGCCAAAGTTATAGTTAAACTTTAAATTAAACTTTATTTCCAATTAACTCAAATAGCATCACTTTTGCTTAGGATATCTATAACTAAAAATGTTGAAAAGGATGGAGTATTTGTTACTATTAAATAGCGCTCTCAAGCTACTAAAGAAGCTTAATGTTAATAACTTAATTAATTAAATGATACTTCATCAAGTTTGGTTTGAATGCCGCCTCTGGAGTTGTAAAAGCCTTGCTTCTTATGAGCCAATCATTGTAATAACCTAAATATTCAAAATGTAATTTTAATTGACATAAGGGAACATCTAGCACTCAATCTAAAAAATTAAATTGCAGTTTTTCATAATTGTAAATACTAGCATTTCAGGTTTCATGGTGTTTGATTCTTGATTAAATTGGTGCAGGATCTTGCAGTACAATAATGATTTAAAGCCAAATCATTAAATTATGAACTATACAGCCAATAAAGGAGTCGCTTACACAAGGATCACATCATATGATAAACCAGGATACAGATCCTCCTCTATTTTTCGTCTTTGGGAATATCATAACAATCCTAATGATTCGAAGTTGCTACCCAAAGAGTTAAGTTGGTTGGTAACAAACTTATCGTAAAGAATAATTTTAAAATATATATCAACAGCATTGTAACTTTTGAATAGAAATTCACTTGGGCTTGAACCTAAAGCCGATAATTTTCAACAGCCACTCCTCTTTGTACTACAAAACAACAACACTATTTGAATGCTAAAACACCTATTTGCCCTATGATTTAATGAATAAAATATAGTTTCACTACTGGAAATTTACAATGCTTAGCTGATACAGTTTTCTGGGTCACTAGAGGCAAATACAGCCTAGGAGTGACGTTTTTTAATCAAATGTTGCTGATGGAACGTTATTTTTAGTTCTTGCCTTACTCAAATACTCAATTCTTGCACTGCCGTTTGGATTCCAATTAACTTTACAAATCTCTCACGAAATATATTATTCTCTGCACAAAGAATAATTTGACAAACAATTACAGAACGTTACTGCTATCAGTTACAATAAAGGGCACAATTATTATTTAAATTTAAACTATATCAGACCTAATGACCTATGAAAATAAGCTCTTTATCATTCGAATAATTTTACATTTTCAAAAATTTTAAACCTTATCCTTCTTCTAATTTACAAATTTAAGTAGATAGCAAAAAAAAATATCTAAAAAATGAATTCAAATCAAAAAAAGATTTGAGATAGAGATGGAATGAATCTTGTGCAGGTAATCAATTTTTTGAGTGAATATACATATTCTTAAAGGTAAAAAACAATATTATGAAGATTAGTAGCCAAATTGCAGCTCCACAAAGACAAAACTAATATCTTACTTCCAATTTTTCCCATATATGAATAGTGAGCATGTTTGCTTTTAGCAAGTTTTTAATGTAAATAATTATGTTACCATCGCCATCCAATGAAATTCATTAAGATAATGGTTGACCTTTTTGGAAGCTCACTTTTGTACTTTCATTCTATTGGACAGAAACTTCATTGATTGATACTTAATTCAGCTCATTAAACATGATGAGTACTTAATATTCCTTATTTTTCAAAATTAAAATAGTGATTTAAATCTTTTAGTAGGCAGTTTCTCCAACTTCTATTCAAGCATTTATTGTTTTAAAGTGATATGCCACAAAATCTAATTTATTTATGAAAATATACTGTATTCATTACTTGGCTTCGGTGTTTGATGATATCTCATATCTTTAACTGTAATAAAATGCGATTGATAATTACACTTCACAGTCTATAAAGAATAATTTAAGAAATTATATGTTATCAATATATGTAATTTAATGGTTTAAGAACCATATGAGAAGCTGCCTTGTCTGCTAATTATAATTACGAACTCTTTTGTATATACTTCATCAAATCTTTAATCCTAGAATGTCAAACTCAATATTGTAATTTGAGAGGTCATCTTTGCTGAATTAGTACTTTGTTTATTACTCATCAAACGAACAATAAAAATTATTGAATTAATAAATTAAAATTTAGTTTCATTACATTTTAAAGAATTTGGATATGAAAATAAATAGATTTAAGAGATATAAAAATTATTAGAAATAATAGTATTAAGAAGCTTAAGTTTACTTTCTTTTTTTAATAAGACAAATCTTTATTAAACAAATTATATGGAATGTCATAAATAGTTGATTTTTCATTAGATTTATTCTTATAATATTAGAGAAAGATTATAAAATCCAAGTTAAATTAAATTGAAAATTCAAATCTCTAGAATAAACATACAATAAAGATTAAGCAATTCTTCTGAAATGGGTCACAAATGCACTTTGAAAAAAAGTATTGATTTAAATTCTGTATGTGAATGATATTGGAATTAGACGATGATGAGTTTATTTTATCGAATGTTGATAAAGAAATCATTAAATAAGAATTTTAAATAAATTAACATTTTAATAAAATTCTTTACACTGAATTGATTAAAATCAGTTTTTCAAGATGTGATAACTGAATTTAAATTTTGACAATTTCAAATAAATTATTTGGTTTTCTTTCTCTCAGTTTCTAAAATTAATGAAATTATCAACTCATTTATGAAATTTTAATTAGTATTAAAAAATTTATATTCAACTTTAAATCAACCTGAATTTTTCTCTGTTGAAATTATGATTAATCAATTAATCAAGAACTAAGCCAATATACAATTAAATATTTATCAATAATTTCCGAGATTGAATCTGTCTCTAGATATTTTCACTGGGTTCCAAAAATTACTTATGATGAAAACACAGTTATGTGCAGTTATAACGAGTTATCTCGTTTAATAAAAGGAAAGCCTTAACTAATTGACAGTTAATATACATTCAGCGTAGTCGTTCAAAATCTAGAATAGCGAAGCAAAAATTTGACTACCAAAAAAATAAGTTATCGAGTTCATTTTAAATAATGATGAGCGGAAAAATTTAGACCATAAGTAAACTTAGTACGCCCAGAGATCAGACTTGATTAATGTAGGAAAAGTGCAAGTAGAGAAAATAATTTTTAATTCATTAAACAAGTTTTGAAATCTATTTAACTTATTCAAAAAAGACAAATTTAGGGATAATGTACCTTTGAAACTAATAAATTAGTGAAATCTTGAATTCAACTACATCTTAATTATTATTTATAGAGGGAAAATATGATAATTTCAAAGATAAAGATTAATTATCATATTTCGATGTAGTTTAGGAAACCTGGACTAGTTTTGGACAAAATTCTTGTATTTTTGAGTCTGATGTTCAGAAATCAAAATGATAATCACGAAATAAAAGAAGATTTGGCTGTCCTTCTTATCAATTTGCTGATGATGTAGAAAATTTGATAATCAGTTTATAATTTTTTTTACTTCTTAAATCCCTTTAATAAAGAAAAATTCCTATAAACATTAAAGCCTTTGTTTCCGACATTTATTTCTAAAATACCAAAATCACAATTTTTGTAACCTTCAATTGTAATACATGTAGTAGTTGTGTAAGTTCCAAAACATCTTGCGAACCCATCCTATCGAGATAGTGACAAGGTGGGAACATTAGAAAAGATGAAACATACAAGTTATTTTGGCAGTTTGATATTAAATCCCTGAACTATAAATAAAAGTATGTACACTTTCAACCACAATCATCTATTTGAAGAACTGGGCTTTAACTCATGCACCATAATGAGTATTAATTATTTTTATGGCTAATTATGAAAATAATTCAACAAACTGAGCAAGTTTGTTAACTGTCTTTACAATAATGGGAATATATATTGGCCAGAAAGTGGACTAGAGATTATCTCAAAAACCGATTGGATGATTCATTACTATTTTAAATGATATCAATAAGCTATGCATGCTGCTCCAAAGTTGAAGAAAAAATTGGATAACTTGGAAAAACATCAATAGCAGTGTATAATTTAAAGAAAGCATTGCCAGATGTAAACCTTAACTGAACTTTTATATTTACATGCTCTTTCAACAAATTTTACAGAATATAGCTATGCTTAGCGGTAATTTATTAATTTATAACTGGCTTAGAATTCATCGCTTGACTTGTAGAATAAGGTGGGTGACTGTGAGTGGATACTCATAAATTAAAATGAAGCTCGGACTTATTAATTTAAAAGCCCAAATAAATATCCAGCATTTGATTTTCAATTTTGAGTTTGATTCAAAGTTAAACACATCCAGGTAATTTTATATTTTAAGCATCCAAAGAGGATAATCATTTTTGACCTAAAACCGATAGGTGGTTCATAAGTAATACAACTTGTTGAAGAGATCTGAAGTTTCTGTTATAAATTGGTAATGGAGGAGAATTCTGACCATTACAGTCAATGTTTCTACTTATAAATAATACTTTTATGATCACCCAATCTATAAAGTTTAGGTTAATATAATTATAAACACAATTAGAGAATGTAGTTTTGTATAACCAGGACAAATATTAGTGGAATCACAATTAGATTATGGTTCAGCACTTCTATTAGAGTTTTTTATTTTCTTAGTAGCCATCATAATGAGATTAGAAATTACAGTAAAACAAATGCATTTATTTAACAATTCAAGTGAATACAACAAATGCTAAACTACAACTACATGGAATCTAACTACACTATAAGAGCAAAAGTAGCATTTTATTTGAGAAACTAGTCTAACTATTATGACATGATGTATGAATGATACATCCAACCCTTACAAGAAAATAAAACATATTGGCCGTATTCACGAATAAAAAAGGAAATCTTGTAAAATGAGTTTTAAAAATATCTTTCTAAGGTGAGACTTTTTTTAGTAGCTGACTGTACAATTTGTACAAGAGAGGAATAATACTGACAATTAGAATTAATATTCCATCACAATAAGTGCATGAAGGAATTATCTTACTGCTTATTAGTAAGAAAGACCCTTGCTGCTGTAAGGAGATTATTTGATGAAAGAACTTCGAATTGTATCGTTCGTCAAGGTTGTCAGAAAATTGCTCTTGAATATAAGCAGTGCTCAATCATGTAAGATCCACCTAACATTTGAAATAATTTGCTTCATTTTGAAAGTCATCAACGCAATTTTGCATGTATGTCGAATTGAACAAGCTATAATGCTAAGTGAAAAGGGACAATTTTGGATTCCAAGAGTCTTTGTAATTCCAAATATTCTTTACATAGCACATCAGGGGCAGTGGTTTCAATGGTTCTTTGTATTTCCTATAAGTATTAACTGGATAACAGCCAATAAATGTTAGGGAATGTTATCTTGCAACAAATGGCAGAGCATTTTAATTTTAATTTGAATATCTAATAGTCTATAAATGATCAAATTTACGATGTGATAGTATAATTTGTCAAAAGACCTATTATTTAATCGGCCTATTCTGACTAATTGTTAATTGCACTTTAACACAAAAGTCTTATACCATAGAAGTAATGAAGGTGTGAAATTTATAATTCAGTCTCAGTATTATTTTGAGTTCGGCAATCATTCTTCATGTTTAGAGCATCAGCATGGTTATTAATTTGACAATAACAACTGCTTGTGTTAAGCTAGCTCAATTTCATGTTGGATAAAGACACAGATAGTCATTATTCATATAAGTCATGTTCTTACTTGCAATTAAGTTTTATTATTATTAATTGCAAATTAACTGGGGCTGGAGTATGTCTAACTTTTGTTCAAGGATTTTGATGCATTTTGCCGCATGCATATCCTTCATGACCATCTTTACTTAACTTACCCTGTCAATCTTGCATTGTTTAAGGAATGGCCTGCAAATTTTATTGTAGGGTTGACCAAGAACTAAAGACGATTTATCATATCCTTTCTTAAGGAACTGTTATAATTGAATTCCTCTTTTTATCATTCCTGTAAGTTCTGCCATTTGTAGATTATACGAGACTAGATGAGCAGAAACTTGCGATCCATGCTGTAAGTGATGTTCCGATACTATTAGATAAAGTTTTCCTTTTTTTAGGATTATACTTAGATAGAGTTATACTAAAATCTACACAAAATATACCTCACATCAATTATTGGAGTCATTGGTCTAATTATTTTTCAACCAATTCTAAAGCTCTAAATTGCTCTGTTGATGTCTAGTATCTCTCCTTATTGTATAAAATGTTAGTATACTAAGTTAGCTAATTCTCTGTGCCCTTGCAACTGCATCAAGAATGTTATGCTAGCTATTCATTTTAAGAGAAACTTTCTTCCTTTCTCATATATATAATTTATATCAAGAATTATTTTCCCTGTCTGAGTAAATGTTCAAGTTATTGCCCAAGATATTTTGACAGCATTATTTATTCTTTAGTATTCCAGTCTCGTATTTGTTAATTATACAGCTTAGAAAGAATGTTTTAGCAAAACAATATTTTTAATAGAGCAACTGATCTACTGATTGCAGTGCTGACTTCATTGATAATGGTAGCAATCAATGTTAACCATATGCAACCCTTTTTTATATTAACTGTCTAGGATACAGCCTAATGCTTGTAATATATGTACTTGCAAATCTTATATGCCAAAAATATTTTAAAGTTTTATCACCCCTTCACCTAATAAAAAATAATACTGATCATATAATATTATAATTGTGCTAAGAGGATATTTCTTGAATACTTCAGGTGACTTATTTTTGACGAGTTTTGAACTATTAGAGATACCACTATATTTTCTTTTTGTTTATTATAACCAATGCATCAACTTTCAATAAATGCAAATAGTATATTCTCAACAAGCCAAGCACGATTTCTGGATATTAAATTCATTGCTAACTGCTGCGCTATTAATTAACTCGCTATGTTTCCCTATAATTGTTACAAGTAACAAGTAGGCAAGCAAGCCCAACATGTTTAATTTCTAAATTTTGTGATGTGTACTAAAGATGCTCAAAATTAAAAATGAAGGACAATAGAATTTTGAGGTTCTCATATATAACTAGAATTAGTTTATAATAATACTAATACCAAATACAGTTAAGATGTGATAGATTCAAATCATCAGTTAAAAGTAGAATATACATTAACTGATGTGAAATGAAATGAGGGTCCATTATGTTTGCTGATATAGCATATGCGATTGCTTAAGGACGTTCATACGCTATTTGAAGAATTTAAACTTATTCTTCCAAGCGCTCTTACTGATCTACTAGTATATGCTGAATTAGGAAAAGTAAAAGATGCGCTTTACCCAAAGCAACACAAGTTGAGCAATAAAGTGCATTAATGGCAACTTCCACTAAGAATGAGTCGAGTTAGACATCACACGATAGCATTGCCAACACAAGATAGAAAATCTTATATCTACAATATAAAGCGCCAAATTTATTTGCAATTCGCAGTAAATAATTGAAAATGAGTCATCTGCATCTCAAAAATAATAGACATAAATTTCAACCAGCTTAATCATTATTGCCTCCATTAATTTAGAAGTCATTATTACAATAAGCCCATTTAGATGATAAAATATTGCCTCTGTTTTATGAGTAGATGTTGCTCCAAAGTAATATATTAGAATATTTTTGGTGTATACATCAAAAGACAGTAGCTATTTTGAATACAGTATTGAGCATTATTCCCATAGAATTGAATTCATAGCAAAATCTATCCAATTACAACTAAATAAATATGTGATAACACAAAAAGAGTAGCAACACTAAAATTATTAAAGTGATTATTCAAGTCCTTTTGTGCAAGCTGCACGTGTCTTTTCAATATAAGCTTTAGTATAAGTAATGCAATAAAGTCAATTAGCTGCATGAATTGAAATTTACATTACTAGATGCAGAACAAACACAAATTAAATTAAAATTTGGATATGTTGTGCTTGAAGAAGATTATAAATATATGTTTAGAATACAAGAACTTGTTAAGGAAGCATTTGAACATCTAATCTAATAGCAGAAGATGGTAGATTTTAATTAAATCCTGAAAAAAAGGAAGCTTGTCTTATCGAGCATCAAATATTCACTTATAAAGTGTATGTAATGTTGATGAAAGGATTCTTCAAGTATTCCCATCAGCACACCATATATAATTGTTAGTATCTCAGTACTCCTTAGTAGAAGTTATTCAGTTGTTGGAAAGAGCATTATACAATACTTCGTTGTTTCAGGTCAGCATAATAATATTCAACCACTGTATTCATCTGTGCATACAAAGTGAGCATAATAAATGAATTTTGTGCTATGAGTTGTCATGTTTGAAAAGAACGTATACCTAGATAAAGGAATTCTTGTTAGTAGCTATGAGATAAGGTCATAAACTCTCAAGAATTATACCAACTATGTCGACAGAATAAAAATGTGTATCAAAATTCATCTTAAAATTTGCCCTTTGATGTCAACTTCACAACCTACGTTATCTAATGGGCATCAGGATAATTGTAATATTATGAAGTTAGCCATACTGATACAGTTAAATAAGTTTAGAGAGAAAGGTGCAAGTTCATATATTATATACCAAAAACAGCAGCACAATAACAAAGGTAGTGACGCTGACTGAAGACGCTAATAGAGTTGGCCGTAAAATACATGAGCAGAATTTAGGAATATGTTAGAAAAATATCAAGAAATATTTACAAGTCGTGTCAGAACATTTTGAGGAATAATTTTGCAGAGTTTACAGTATAGATGTATTTCATTTACAATAGTATAATGGAGAGCAACTTCATAAATTATTCAATTAATTAGGGTAGTGTAAAACTGAAAATTTAAAGTTAGGTATTCATCAAGTTCAAGCCAAATCAAGTTGTAAACTAACTAATGAGAATATTAATTACAAGTCTGAGATTATAGTGTTAACAAAGAATAACGGTTCATATTCTGGGGTAAAACTTAGGTGCATCATAAATAGACACAAGATGGCTACATTTAGACACAAGCAGAATCATTTTCTACCCAATTGAATTGTACTCATTTGTTGCATTAGCTAATTATTTAATGTATTTGGTTATTATAAGTTATTGATGGATGACAAGAGGCATTAGTAGCAAAAATAGAAATCTGCATCTGGCACATAAAATGCCATTAGAAGAAAATCAGTATTACAAGAACCAACATTTCATGAGGTTTACATAAAACTTGGGCCTAAAGGAAAGAAGGGTTCAAAGTTGTCTTAGTTAACCAAGCATTTTTTGCATGATAATATGGTAAATAAGAGCCTGTGACATCTACTAAAAAGAGGAAGGCTAGTAATTTAATTCAGAATATACATAGAATTCGATATCAAGTACATGACTTACAGGATGGATTAAAAAAAAATTGGCCTCTAATCACACCCACTTTAACAATTATTCGAAAGCATTTTCAGTAGCCTGAAATTTAGTTGAGGCAGTTAAATTGTAAGTTGCATAACTTTTTAATTGCCCTGAAGTTGTTTAGGATGACTTTGAAATAGAAACAAAGAAGATTTTCAAATTTTCATGGTTTTATAATAGTTTACAAGTATTGAAGGGATCACAACACTATCAAGTTCTTATGAATGCTTTGTATAAAAGTGACAATTGCAAATCAATATTGAGAATGCAATGCTATTACAACATGTAAGATAGACTAATTATTGATCTTGATGGCCAGTACTTAACATACAAAAGAGTGTGACTGAACTAGAAGTTTGTAATTTCCATTATTAAAATTCTGTCCAAAAAAACAAGACACATAACATAAAGCTGGAGTTGAGGATCATGTTACGATTTTCTAAGACACAAATGCAAGATGTGAAATAATGTTTATCTCAACAAGGTAACCTGAAGTAAATTTATGTATGTCTGTTATTATTAAATTCAGATGGACAACTATCAAAAATAGATTTGATATACTTCTGGAAGTATTCAAGCTGCATGTTCTATATTGGTAGAAAGATATGCTTTAGAAGCCAAAAAGTCGTATTTGATGGTTTAACAGCAGAATTTAGGAAGGTTTCGAAATATCCAACATATTAGCAAATTGGATGATGCAACAGCCGATATTTCTAAGTTAACTGGAGTTGTGCGTTAAACTTATTGAGATGGACTTAAGCTCTACGAAAGTAATGTCCTTCAATATTACATCTAACCTTACTAGAAACTGTCTTGACAACCTTTAAATTTTGGTATTGTTTTGTAACATATTGAGTCGTACAAGACAATTTCCACAATCATTTGTATTGAGGAACACTACACCAGGACATAATTGCTCGATAGCAGGACCAAAGTCAGTCTGTGAATGAACACTTTGTTAATAGGTCAACAATTGATTCTAGGACCAAATGGTACACAATTTCTATTTGAATAATTGCTAAGCATGAGCGATTCAAAATACTACAAAATGAAACATAAGGCTATGAACACTTTGCTAAATTAAAACACTATAATTAGCTGCCTTTCAGTGCACTACTTTCATCAAGAATATTCATTATTACAGTTACCTGGAGGAAGATATCATAAAATCTTCTTTCTCATCAGTATTTTACTGTATTCATCTGCGGACACTTGTGGCATACATCATATAAATACTCTTAGTAAGTATTGAATATCTATCAAATAAAGTAGAATTACTTTTCCAAGCTGTTTATCATCCTTTACTGCAAAATCAACATAAATTGCACAAAAACTGAGGACGAAATTTCATAGCCATAAAACCCATTAGAGGATTAACTCAAGAAACTCTTACACATTCTAAGGTTCCATTATACTCATTTGGATAAAGAGAGTTTTTGCCTCTTAACCTAATCATTTCACTGTTTAGTTACACTATTGATTAGAATTCCAATTCATATTATAGAGTTAGTGAGGAATATTATTGTACATTTCGTACTCCACAGAATCCTTCAATTAATTAAAGCATTGAATATATTATCAAAAATAATTACCTGGGTGCTAAATTTTAGTACTCTATGCTGCTAAATTTGGTTTGGCTTAACTGATAATTGGACAATATCAAATGAAGCCTAAATAGTAGAATTATCTTTGTTCTAAACTGGCTAGTTGTATGAATTTGAAAAATTTTCATTTAAATATGGAAAATACAAGTTGGGGCTATATAGATATAAAACGATAAAACATTATAATGAAACCATTAAACTCACACAAGAGTATCTTTTTAATAACTACATAAGTGTAGGCAGCTGTTCATATTCTGAACTTAGCAGGATATTTAGTATAAGCATAGTAATGGAAACAAAATTAGGGATATGAGATATTAAGCGCAAGATAAGCAAAGTTGTTAAGTAATGGGGAGTTTATGTGAGCCTAATAAAGTCGACCATGAGGTACAATCGGTAGAATTTAGAGGTGTATCCTATTAATATCAAGTAATATTCACAATAATTCTATACGCAGCAAATATTCATAAGTGAAGCTTAGGATTCAGTTTAAACACATTAGGAGGCGCCTAACTTGTAATAAGATTTAAAGTGTAAAAGGCTAAATTAAAATTTGCTGAATCAATAAGATGATATATAGGATGGATCCAAAAAAATAAGAAGCGGTGTCAACATCGGTTAAGGAATAATCTGTCAGTATATACATTAAGTTTGAAAGAAGAATTTCAATTTCCATAGGAGAGCAGTACCATAAAATCCTCAGTTATTTTAGGTCAGCATTTCCAACTCGATTTGCAGTATATCCATCTACACATATTTAAAGTATGAACTTACCAGAATATTAATTAAAGGCTTATGTTAACATTAATTGTGAACCTTTACAAGCATTACAAGGT